TTACCCCAACATCTTGCCTCTAGACTTGTGGGCCTGTCATGTAGTGAGCAGAACAAGCTTGGACTTGGTTACATTAGTAGACTTTCTTGAATAATCTGTTTCCTCATTTGCTTAGGCCCTCAGCACAATGTCCAAAGATTCTAGATAATTGCTTTAAAAATAATTTTCACCAGGGTTGCCTGGGTGGCTCAGTTGGTTAAGTGTTCGACTCTTGATTTCAGCTCAGGCCATGATCTCAGGATCGTGAGACTGAGCCCCATGTTAGGCTCACACTCAGCATGAAGTTTCCTTGAGAGTCTTCCCTCTCCTTCTCCCTCCCCCTCTGCTCTTCCCCCCACTCATGCTCTCTTTCTCTCTCTCTCTCTCTCTCTCAAATAAATAAATAAATAAAATCTTTGAAAGAAACAATTTTCACCAGTTATGCCTGTCTCACTGGGAAGCATTTCCACAGAACTCTTCTGCCACCATTTTGGAAGCAGCCACCCTTCCTGCTCTTTTTTCTGCTAAACTAAGCTTCTAGAATTTGTATGTCAGGTTGCTTCAAGCCATCATTATGCTCCTGGAGTGAGCCTTGCAAGGAACTGAGGGAGAGACACACACAGCCGGGGTGACATCATGGGAGTCCCTGGATCAGCCCTACACTTAGAATCATCTGCACTTCACGGACAGATAAGCCAAAAAATTTCCTTCTTTCCTTAGCTAGAGTTGAGTTTTTTACATGTAACTAAGAGTTGTAACTAATATCCTGAATGTCAAACCTTTAATAGCGTGGGAGTAAATGATAAGGATTATGGAAAGCTTGTTCAACAAAACTGGTATCTAGGGTAATTTTTATGTGAACTTTTTGATAGTTCATTTTGTTCCAATAATTTATGGTCTCTTGATATTTAATGAAATACAGAGAAATCACTTATGGTGATTCTAATAGATGCTCCTCTTAATAAGGAATTTTAATATGTTCATATACATCTGTCAATAGTTGTTGCCATCCAAAGGGTTGGTTCCAAGGAAGACTCAATGTTGACTGTTAATGCTGAGTTATAGTATTAATAATAGTACAGAGGCCTGACCTTAATTATAGAAAGTTCTTATAAGTTAGGTAACCTCTCTTTTCCATTAGCCTGCAGCTGACTCATTAGAATATCTCTTGTAAGCATATAGTTTTCCAAATATTGGAACTAGTTACAAACCTCTTTAACAAACTATAAGTGGAAAAAGGGAAGATTAAATATCGTTACTATTTTTTTAAATATTTATTTTATTTATTTGGGGGGTAGGGAGGGGCAGAGGGTGAGGGAGAGATAGTCCCACGCTGAGTGCAGAGCCCAATGTGGGGCTCAATCTCATGACCCTGAGATCACCACCTGAGCTGAAACCAAGAGTTAGCACTTCTGACTGTGCCACCCAGGCACCCCTATATATTGTTATTCTTGATATGATGTAGAAAATCTAGGTAATCTAAGATTTTTATTTATTTGGCATGATACTCCTTTGGAATATTAAAGAATGGGTCAAGTCTGTTAGAAATATAGATATATCCAGAGAATTCAAGAAGAACGTATAGGTCAAGGCTGTAAGCAATTTTATCTTACTTCTCATGACAATATTCTTCCCTAACTCCTTCCTCTGAGATAGATGCTTATGGCAAGTGTTGGGAGCAGGAAAGACATCAGACATTATTATAATCTTGGAATTTATGGGGGGATGGGTTAGCCTGGTGATGGGTATTAAAGAGGGCACGTACCAAATGGAGCACTGGGTGTTATACGCAAACAATGAATCATGGAACACTACATCAAAAACTAATGATGTAATGTATGGTGATTAATATAACATAATAAAATTTAAAAAACAAACAAAGAAAAAAGAAACAAAAAACAAAAACAAACAAACAAAAAAACACTTGGTTTAAAAAGGTCTCTCTCCCTGGATGAGACTTACAGAGGACCTTAACCTAATGTATATTTCCATACTGGGCGCTGCTTGCCAATAAAGTCTCTGAAGATTCTGCAATTCAGTGATCTCTGTCATGTTTGGAATATCTCTAGGATTCCCAGAAAACCATAATTAGTGGTTTTTGGAATCAAGGAGGCAGAGTGTGTAACAAAAATGTACAGATCCATCAAAAAATCTCGCTAATTCCAATTAAATGGGAGAGAGGCGATGTGAATTCATGACACTCAATTATTTTTACAATAGTGAAAGCTATATGGCTATTACTAAAGAAAAAGGGAAAAGTACTCTAGGATAAATTTTAATGAACAGATTTGATTTATTTATAATTGGCAAATGTTTTAAATACTTTAAGCTTCTGAGTTACCTGAGAGCAGTATGCATCTTAGAGAGCTTACAAGCCACCTGCCGTTTACTTTGCACTAATAAGGGTCCTGCTCTTTGGAACATTATTCACAGAAATAGAAAATTAAATGTCCACTGGTTTCTAGGACTTCATAATTCATGAATTGGTAGAATTTGAGTTCCACTAACTGTACTTGAGAATCTAATAAGCTTTAGTTGCAGACTTGCACTCTGATCTTATTCTGATAGTAAAATCTTATGTGAGAAGGGTTTTTTTTTTTTTTTTTCCTACAGGCTTGGGGTAGATGATACCCTCTCAGAATATGGGTGAGATCGTGGTTCTCAATCGATTGACCTACCCCTTGCTAGAATGTTTGTATTTTGGGATCTCCATCTTCACTCTGCTGCCTCAGCAATACGTTTGATTTGGTTTTACAGAGATGAATTTCAAGGAAAACATCACCTAGACTTTATTTCAAATTACTCTGAGGATCAATACATTCTACTGATGCCCACAAATGCTGTGTTCATAATCTACTGTTATGATATATGACTCGGAAAAGGTAAATGTCCTGTCAACCACAATCTCTCTTTATTATATTTAAGGAGGGCTAGTTTCCATTATCAAAAGCAGATAAGGAATGCCAGCACTCATTTGTCATTCAAAATGGAACGCTTACTTATCTGGGAATGAATGAAAACCATCACGTGGAAGGTTTGTTTTTTTAATAGTGGCGATAAAGTCACAACTCAAGGTTAGGGGAAAATTCAAATGTGGTTCCACTGGGTTGCTTATATTTTTTGCATAGGTTGGAAAGACAATTTTCCAATAGTAACTTTGGTTTTTGAATACATTTTTCCCCTAAAACAGAGACAAGAAGAAGAAACCTGACATTTTTTCTCATCTTCTGAAATGGTAATTAGTTTTTATATCTTCCACCTACAGATTTTAGTTCCAGTTTGAGGTGGTCTGTCCTTACCCACACTTTTAGGCAGTGAATCCCATCTCAGATGATGGTCTGTGGCGTGTGACAAACAGGTCATTTAACGAGTGAGTAAACCTGTGCAGATAGGTACCAAGAGTACAGTCAGGCTGAGCTCAGTCTTCTCATAGGTCCTGGGTAGGAAATGTTAAAAGGGCCACTTGCCATTTAGGGTTTGATGGTTAAGACTTCTCTACATGGCCATCTCCCAGGCACCTCAAAAATCAAAATATGACCCAAATTAAACGCATCTCATCCCATGAAAACTGGTCATCCTCCTGTCTTTTCCATCTCTCCAAAGACCACCATCCGTTGAGTATGATGAACCATAACAAACTGCCTTTTTTATAGCTCACAAATAGCTGATCATTGGCAATCTCAAACAGATTAGCCTTCCTGGTTGTTCAGGTCAGAGACCTGGGTGAAATCCTTCTCACCTCACTCCCCTTCAACTCTTACAACAAGCTAGTTTGAGGACTGGTAAATTCTCTTTCTCAGGCAGGTTCTGAATCCATTTTTAAGGCACTCAACATAGCTCAAATCATCAGTAATTGGCCTAGTGATTCCACTGTCCACACTGTAATGAACTAGGGTGTACTCTTTAAAACACAAGCCAGATCATCCCACTTGCCTAACAGAAAGCAGTCAATGGCTTCTCAATGTCCTTAACACAAAGACCAGACAATCCAACCCTTGCTGACCTCGTTAATCCCACCTCACCCTATTTTTTGGTTACTCTACCTTCTTTCATTTTCTCAAGCATGCTCCTTTCCAACTCAGGTCTTTGAACATATTGTTCCATCTGCTTGGTACCCTCTTCTCTCTCATTACCAACCAGGCCCTTATCACTCAGTGATCCCTGCTTCTTCTGCGTTCATGCCTCAGCATAAATGCCATGTCCCAAAAGAATCTTCTATGACCTCTCACTGACCAGTGTGGAACCCCAAATTACATATATCCATGAGACTTCAACACAGATCATACTTCCAATTACCTGTTCAATGCTAGGCTCAAACTCTAAAGGAGCAAGGCTGTGGCTGATTCATTTGCCGCCGTATTGCTATCATTAACCTAGGGCCTAGAACCTAATGGGCACTGGGTAAACGTTTGCTGAAGGTACAAATCACTCACAAATGTCAAGACTGCAATTGACAAGTCAAGGCTGCCATCTTTGCTCCATGATATTCCAGTTTTGATATATCTTCAGTGATTTTTCTATTTAGGATTTTTAAAAAGGTAACAAATATATTTAATTAAAAAATTCAAAACTGAGAGGCTGAACTGGAACTCTGGACCTCTTTTGAATTATTCCCTAGTATCTGGCAATGGTTATGGTTATAAGAGAAGTAATAATAATCAAAGCTAACATTTATTGAGGGCCAACTACGTGCCAAGCTTCTGGAGGAACATGAGGCCTAGTGAAGGTGAGGGGATTTACTGAGGTTCACACAGCTAGTAAAGGTAGAACCAAAATCACAAAGACCCATAATCCAAGACATGCTTTGGATGCTCTCAGTCCCTCAATCTTTGGGACAGATAACTTCTTGAACACATGAATCCTCTATACCTGGAAGACTAAGAGAATCAACTACAGAATCCAAGAGAAACACATTCTCAGCCCTAAGTAAAATGTCTTTAAATACACACCAGTTAATTTCACCATGTTTCCAAGAACAATTCTCTCCCGAGCAGCATCTTATTAAAAGCTCGTGTTCCTACCGGAAGAAAGAGTCTCTGAGCAGCACAGGGTTTGAATAATTTCTTCCATTCCTGAGGGTTTCCAACCGAAAACGTGATGGGGTAGATTCTGTGCTCAAACTTCTTTGTATATGAGTCAGGCCACTGTCGTAACTGAAAAAGAAGGAAGACAAGGGGAGGGTGATTAGGCCCCAGAGATATGGAAAACACCTGAAGTTCCTGGATGTTCAAGTGGAAATTATTCAGGCGACTTACACAGAAAGTCTAACTTCACCACCATGATTAATGCTCAATGAATGAAAGACTCTGGCTAGGGGGGCGCCTGGGTGGCTCAGTTGGTTGGACGACTGCCTTCGGCTCAGGTCATGATCCTGGAGTCCCGGGATCGAGTCCCGCATCGGGCTCCCTGCTCAGCGGGGAGTCTGCTTCTCCCTCTGACCCTCTTCCCTCTTGTGCTATTTCTCATTCTCTGTCTCTCAAATAAATAAATAAAATCTTTAAAAAAAAAAAGGAAAGAAAGACTATGGCTAGGATGAAAAAAAATAACATCTAGAGTTGTCAAGCATGTTAGGAGACTGGCACATAAACACTATAAGGGGAGTATAAATTTGAATAAACTTCCAAGAGGGCAATTTAGAAATTGGGAACAACCAACCCCAAAAGATAAAGGCACAAGACTTTCAACACAGCCTTGTTTGTAATTAAAAAAAAAAAAAAAAAACCCTTGAGAACAAACCAAATGCTCAACAACTAGGAATTGAGAAAATTAATTATGATAGAACTATACAATAGACCATTGTAACAGTTAAACTAAAGTTAGAGCTATATGTGCTGACAAGGAAAAATGTTCATTTTAAATAACATTTTATTATAAAATTTATTATAAATAAAAATGATTAAAAATAAAAAGCAAAATGCAAAAAATTTTATGTTTCTGTCTTAAAGGGAAAATATATGCATGTATATTTTATTTTATTTTATTTTTTGCATGTATATTTTATATGGAGAGAAAAATCTGAACAGATAGACACTAAACTGTATTTTGTTTTTTTTCTTTAAGATTTTATTTATTTATCTGACAGAGAGAGAGAGAGCACAAGCATGGAGAGCGGCAGGCAGAGGAAGAGGGAGAAGCAGACTCCCCGCTGAGCAGGAAGCCCAACGTGGGGCTCAATCCCAGGACCCCGAGACCATGACCCAAGCTGAAGGCAGATGCTTAACCAACTGAGCCACCTAGGCATCCCCGACACTAAACTGTTAAAAGTGGACACCTGTGGAGGCGGTGGTGGTGGTGGTTTCATTTTCTAAGTTTCTATTTCTGTGTTCTTGAGAACTTTTCCAGTGAGTATATATTATTTTCTTTGCATATGTTATAACAAAATTAATTAATGGGCTTTATTTTTTAGAGCAGTTGTATGTTTACAGGAAAATTGAGGAGGAAGCACAGTTTCCATCTACCCTCCCCCCCCCCCCGACCCGCACACTTTCCCCTGTTACCTACATCTTGCATTAGTGTGGTATGTTGGTTACAACCAATGAACCAATATCAATACGTTAGTAAGTGAAGTCCATAGCTTACCTTAGGGTTCACTCTTTGTGTTGTACATTCTATGGACTCTGACAGGTGCATAATGTCAGGTATCCACCATTACAGAATAGTTTCAGCACCCTAAAAATCTCCTCTGTTCCACCTATTCACCCCTTCCCCCTTCCCTCCCACTGAATTCCTACTACCACTAATTATTTTATTATCTCTTAGTTTTGCCTTTTCCAGAATGTGATAGAGTGGAAATCATACGGTATATAGCCTGTTCAGATTGTCTTCTTGTACACAGCAATATGCACTGAAGGTTCCTTCATGTCTTTTGGTGGATGAGTACATTATTTATTTTTTATCACTGAATAATACTCCATTGTATGGATATACAACGGTTTGTTTATACATTTACCCACAGAAGCGTATCTTGGTTGCTTTCAGTTTGGGGTGATTACAAATAAAGCTGATATAAACATTCATGTGCAGGATTTTGTGTGGACAATTTTAAGTTCACCTGGGTAAATACCAAAGAGTGTGATTGCTGGATGGTATGGCCAGTCCACATTTAGCTTTCTAAGAAAGTGTCAAACTGCTCTCCAAAGTGGCTGTACCATCTTGCATTCCCACCAGCAATGAGTGAGATTTTTTGTTGCTGCACATCCTTGGCAGCATTTTTGTATTGTCAGTGTTGTGGATTTTAGCCATTCTAATAGGTGTGTGGTGGTATCTCATTGTTTTCCTTTGCAGTTCCCCAATGACGTATGCAGAGATGTTGAGCCTCCTTTCCTATGCTTATCTGCCATCTGTGTATCTTCTTAAGTTTTTGAGTTACTGTTTCCCCATTGACACAACAGTTCTACTTCTAAGAAAATATTCCCAAAGTCCATTCATATTTATGACAAGGTTGTTTATCATAATGTTGTCGGTAACAGAGCAAAGTTGGAAACAACCTAAATAGCAGTTTGGTTAAATAAGCTCCGGGGTATGTCTACATAAGAGAGTATCATGCAGCAACTAGTGACAACATCTTACAGTAAAGGTTTGCAAACTGTTGGTAGGACAAGGACCAAATTCAGCCTGCTACAAAAAGCACACAAGCCAAGAATGATTAGACACTTTTAAATAGCTGAAAAAAGTAAAAACAAGAGTAATATTTTGTGACATGTGGAAGTCACATGAGATTTGAATTTTAGTGTCCATAAATAAAAGTTTTATTGGAACACTGTCATACCTAATTGTGTACATATTTCTATGGCAGCTTTTACACTGAGTGTAAGAGTTGAATAGCTACAAGACCACACAGCCTGCATAAGCCTATAAAAGCTGTTGTCTGGTATTTTACAGAAAAAGCTGGACAACCCCAGTTTTAGAAGAAATTCAGTAATACAAAACTCAAGGATATAAAAGGGAATATAGAAGATGTTCCCATTTCTGATGTTGATATGAAAAGAAAAGGAATATAAGAAAATCTACCAAGATTGCTCTCCCTGACTATTAGGATGGTTGATTTGTTTAATTTATAATCTTAAGACTTTTTTTTTTTTTACAATGTACATATATTGCTTATACAATCACATAAAAATGTTTGAAGAAACATACCAACTGATCATGCTTTAAATTTACAACTTTGAGATGGATATATGAGAGAGAAATCTCAGAAGGAAAAAGAGGAGGAGTGACAAAGTATTTGATAAGTGATTTCTGAGGGCCACTGACCGATCAGAACCCATGCCAGGCAAAAATACCAGCACACCTGCACTCACTCATCAGGACCTACACTGGCCATAAACACTCAGTGCGACAACACCAACCCATCAGAATGGACACCAGGGACAGATCTGAGTCCAACTATGCCTTGCCCCAACAGCCCAAAATCAGCCCTGGAAGGAGAATGGGAAGGTCCCTTGGTCTGTTGGTTTCCTTGACTCTTTGATCTTCTAGAAGGGTTTATCTACCTTTGCCAATCTGTGTCTTTTTAACTGGAATGTTCAGTCCATTTACATTCGTTTTCAATGTACAAAATACATGCGTGTATTTGAATAGTACACCAGCTCCAACCACTGGAAGTTCTCGACACCTCTTCCTGTGGCAGAGGACACACACACACACACAAACACACACACACACACACACACACACACACACTCACACAGGGTGTTGCCATCCTCCTGGACCCACCCATCACCAGAATGGATTGGTGGTTATCCCCGCCCCCTTCAGTATCCCAGTTTTTCCTGATAGATGCGCCAAACCTAAAGCACACGTCTGATTCCTGAGCTGCCAGGAGCGGCTAGGAAATCAACCAGCTGGCATTTTCAGCTCCTATATTGAGAGATGACAAAAATAAGTGAGAGTCCAAAATATTAAGTATCTACATTATACTTGGTAAAGAGCTCTAGACATACTATACTTACATGGTTTAAAAAATTTAAAAAAAATTCTACTTCAATAGAGTAGAATTCACCCATAAAGCAGTTTCCAGAGGAATCATGAGGTCAACTGGCACTTTGTTTTGTTTTTACCCTGAGATACGTGGCCTTGAGCTTTGCAGGAAGTTATCACAAGAAACTGGATATTCTGGGACACCTGGGTGGCTCAGTTGGTTAAGCATCTGCCTTTGGCTCAGGTCATGGTCCCAGGGTCCTGGGATCGAGCCCCACATTAGGCTCCCTGCTCCGCAGGAAGCCTGCTTCTCCCTCTCCCACTCCCCCTGCTTGTGTTCCCTCTCTCGTTGTGTCTCTGTCAAATAAATAAATAAAATCTAAAAAAAAAAGAAACTGGATATTCCCACAATGCCTCAGTGTTGGCAGTGAGACCCTCGCGAAGGATGGCCGACCCTGCCTCTCCATACCAGCATCTCCTGGGGCTACACACAAACCTGCTGCTGCTGCCCTACTACTTGAGGGCTAACAAGGTACAGGAGATGTTCCAAAGAATCTTTGTGGAATGAAAGAATAAAGAGATCACGTGATTCAGCCTCACAAGTCTGCTCTGCAATAACAGAGCAAGGATCATTTGCCCTTCCATTGAAACGGTTGAGACAGAGGAAAGCTCTGTGACTTCCATAAGAGACAAGGTTTTGTATCTAAACTTTACACTCATAATCCCTGCACGGAAAAGAAAGGGATGAGGCCAGATGCCCTGCCTGTCTTTTAACACCCTATTACAGTTTCCTTTGTTAGTTGAGCTCCACTGGTCTAACAAAGACCCGAGGAAAGGAGCCATCACAGGGATAAAGTCACCAGAGCAATTCAAATGATTTTTCAAATTCAATGATTTTCCCATACAATTTAGTTCCCAATTTATAATGTGCCAATTACCATGGCTCACAGCAAATTACCCCCAAACTTAGTGTTAAAACGAACATCTAGGGGCCCCTGGGTGGCTCAGTCATTAAGCATCTGCCTTCAGCTCAGGTCATAGTCCCAGGGTCCTGGGATCGAGCCCTGCATCGGGCTCCCTGCTCCGCGGGAAGCCTGCTTCTCCCTCTCCCACTCCCCCTGCTTGTGTTCCCTCTCTCACTGTGTCTCTCTCTGTCAGATAAATAAATAAAATCTGAAAAAGAAAACATCTATAATGCTCACAGATTCCATGGATCAGGAATTCGGACAAAGCACAGAAGGGGCGGCTTACACTGTTGCATGATGTCTGGGGTCTCGGCAAGAAGCTTTGAAGGCTGGAGGCTGGAATCATCTGAATGCTAGTCCACTCACATGTCTAGCAATTGAGGCCAGTTATGGGCTGGGGACCTCAGCTCTTCCCTGAGTGAGTCTCTCCACACAATCTCTCCATATGGGCTAGTGTGGGCCTCACCACATGCTGGCCAGGTTCTTGGGGCAGGCATCCCAAGAAAGCCAGGCAGAAGCTATATTCTTTCTATGCCCTAGCCTCAAATGTCATGTGAACATTACATGTAGCATACTCTATTTTGTATGTACATACATATGATGTATATAGATGCATATGTATTACCTATTACCTTTTAACAAGTTATCCCCAAAACTTAGTGGCTCAAAACGACGAAAATGTATTCTCTCATGTAGTTTCTTAGGGTCAAAAATCTGCAAGCTGAGTTGTCCTGGCTCAGGGCCTCTCACAAGGGTATAGTCCAATACTGGCTGGGGCTCTAGTCATCTGAAGGCTTGGTGGGGTGGGAGGTTCTGTCTCTGAGCTGCCTCAGGTGAGTGTCACAAGAAGCCCCGATTCCTCACTGCATAGATCTCTCCGAGGGCTGCTTTGACATGAAAGTGGCTTAACCCCCAGCAGGTGATCCAGGCGAGAAAGTGACTGCAGACAAGATAGGAAGCGTGGTGCCTTTTTAGACGTGATCTCAGAACTGACATAGCATGGCATCTTCCCCATGCTGTTGGTCACACAGGCCAACCCGGACAGCGAGGGAGGGAAGTACAGTAGGGTGTGAATAACAGAAGGCGGGGGACACCTTCTTTCCCCTCATCTTCTTTAAGTTCAGTTCTATTTTGTTCTGCTCCATCCTCATGTCCCAGCCTCTAGCACCCATAAATACTTGTTAGATGGATGTTGTGCAAGACATTGCTAGAATTTGCCCACAGCCAGTTTCCTCCCTTTCTGCACACCGAGCACGTCCCAGCCCCTTGCCGTTGGGTGAGCCTTGTGACTGCTTCTGGACAGCTCAATGTGAGTGGAAAAGACTCATGTCACTGTCAAGCTGAGGGAGTGAAATGCACAGTCGTGATCCCTTGTCTCTCTCTTTCCTGCATGGCATCCCAAGAACTTTAGAGGCCAAGTGTTCCAGCAGGTGCAACTCAAAGCATGAATGGTCTTGGGGCGCCTGGCTGGCTGAACCGAAAGAGCATGCAACTCTTGACCTTAGGGTTGTGAGCTCAAACCCCATGCTGGGTGTAGAGATTACCAAAAACATAAATAAACTTAAAAAAAAAAGCATGAATAGTCTTTGTCATCTTCAGGCCCAGACCTAAGTGCCTGTGTAATATAAGCAGTAGGCACGTGGAAAGTCTCTGAGCTTTTCTGGAGGTGTGAAGGCAGCCTGACCTAGCCTATCCTGATTCCAGATACCTTAGCTCTTTTATCAGTGTTGCTTGCTTCAGGTTACAGACAGGGAAACTGAAGCTCAGAGAGGCCACAAGGTTTGCCTGAGATCCCGCAGCAAGCATACAGGGGAGCAGATGAGTCTTCTATCTACTAGTTGGAGAGGAAGTATGGTACACTGGTTGAGCTCATGGAGGTTTGAGGCTGTGACCTTGAACCAACACCTGATGAGTAAATCATTAAAACTCTTTGCAAAAGAGGGACATGACTGCTGCTTTCTGGTGGGGGTTAAGGAGAGGTAAGTCATAAATCAGAAGCCCTTGACCAATGGTAACTGTCATCATCATCCCCTTTCACCACAGCTCCAGAACAACAAACCATGCGTGTGCCCACCTCTTCCCTTTCCCTTGACTCAGATCTTTTTTCAAGGCATTTTCCAATCAATTTCAAAGCTTTGAGACAAGTTGGCTTCTCCTGGTGACAATGTCATGGGGATATTTTTCTTTGGGAAACATAACCCATTTTCTAGCCTTCTGTTAGCAGCTTTTCTCTGCCCAATAGGCTTCTTTGGCCTTTCTCATTAGTGTAGCCAGCTTGGGGCCAGGAGGTGGTCTGCTGACCCAAGTCCATGGATACAAAACGAACCGCTTCTCGCTCTACCAGCACTCAAGGCCTTACCGCAAGAGCAAATGTCCAAGACAAAGCAAAGTTTGGTTTGCAAAGGCATTCACGTACCTAGACTGGAGAGAAGAGGTATTTCCAAAGCTCTCCTCCTGTACCGGCAAAAAAAATCAGTACTTGTGCCTCAGTATAGGAATAGTCAACTCAACAGGGATCCAGACACATAATAAAATACTATACAGTCACCAGAAAAGACAAGGTAAGAATGTCTGAGTCCTGACCTGGAACGATGCTGACAATATGGTTTTAAGAGAGGAAAAGCAAGTCCCAGTATGACACATAGAGAATAAACTTGCTTTTATAAAAGAAATACAGGGGCGCCTGGGTGGCGCAGCCAGTTAAGTGTCTGCCTTCGGCTCGGGTCATGATCCTGGGGTCCTGGGATCGAGCCCCATGTGGGGCTCTCTGCTCAGCTGGGAGCCTTCTTCTCCCTCTCCTTCTGCTCCTACCCCCTGCTTGTGCTCTCTCTCACTCTCTCTCTCAAATAAATTTTAAAAAAATCTTTAAAAGAAATACATGTTAATCTGGGCACGTACAATTGTATGTGCTATACAGGTATATGTTTATACATACATACAAATATACATTTACACACATATACATACATCCACACAGAAAAACACACACACAAACACACACCTGTATGTAAAAAAAATATGAAAGAGCAACTCAAAATTGCTAACTCAGATAGTTTCTTCTGTGGGACTGAGGGTACTAAGGACTCCTACCTTTTAATGTATGAAATCTATTATCATTTGAATTTATTTTAATAAACATTTATTACTTTTCATTCAAAAAACCTATATAAAGAGAATTTGTAGACAGCTACCTGGCCCTTACACGAGAGCCATGTAATTACACCAGAGGGCTCAAGCCCCGGGTCAAGTGCTTCAAGTGTATCATCTCATAGAACCCTTATACTATCTCTGTAAGGTAGGTGTAAGTATCCCTAAATGACCCATGGGAACAGTAAGGCTCAGAGTCAAGCGTATGGTCACACAGCAGAATCTGTCGCAAAAATTAGTGAATCACATTAGTGAAGGGGATACACATCTCCCACAATGCAGTCTGTCTGTGCACTCCGTAACTATGGCACCACCATTTCCACAAATTCACCTGCTTATCAAACTCAGGCTTCAGAGAGTCTTCCGTGAAGATGTGGAATTGAATCTTCCTGTGGCTAAAGAGTATGGCAGATTTGAGCATGACCAGGGTCTCCTCCAGCCGATTGCCACAGGCCACCACGGCCAAGTGGATCCAGAGCTCCGGAGGCAGCACGTCCTGAAAACTCCTGAGTTCTCCAGGCCTCCTAGGAAGAAGCAAAACAAGTTAAAGCTATTAATAAACTCATAAAATTTAAACACACACACACACACACACACACACACACAGCCACACACACCCAGCTAGTGAATGGTTGGAACATTTCAAAATATGAACAGGCACAATCTGTTATATTTTATAAAGTGATAAGCATTTTGACAATTCTCCCTGCTTAGAGAAAAATACCATTTATTCCCATATTTATCCTGGCAATAGCAGCATGAGTCACTGTTTGGACGGCCATAGGTGTCTGAGACTTTTTCTGCCCCACTCAGCTGTCGAGCGCCTGCTGGCTGCCGGATGGCCCGTGTTTGGAAATAGCCCTGCTAAACTTCCAGCAGCTGACACAGGGGCTGTGCTGCTCACACTCACACGGGCCACGCAAATTAGATTTGAATGCAACATGGACAGGACGAGGGTGGGTTGTGGCTTTCCCACGTGAAACGAGCAACATGATATTCCCATCATCTGGATGGTTTTAGGTTGCGGTGGAATGCATGACCACCGCACCAAAGGAAAATCATGCGAGTCTGGGAGGTGAGCAGAGAAAATAACATATGTGCCTCCATCACATCTTTGGAGAGTCTCGAGAAACAGGTGTTAATCGTAACTGTCTCACTCAAACTTGCTGAGGTGGTAGGTTTGAAATTCGGCTTCCAGTATGTGAGTCGTATTAATGAGAAACAGGCAGGAGAGGAGGCAGGTTAAGCTGAAAATGACCAAGGTATCAAATACTGAGTCAACAGCTGAGTGGGAAATAGGGTCCAAGAGTCCAGAATCATCATCCAGCTATTTCCTCGCAATAAAAGATTTGTTCCAGACAAGGAGATGTAGCCAAGCCTCAAACACACCACTGAGAGACATTTGCAGGCAAGTTGGAAGGAGTTGGCCTGGAAAAGGTGCCCTGAGACGAATGAAACTAATTTACTTGCACGAAAGACTTGGAGGCCGGGGAAACTTGGACATGGAATGCTACCTTCCTTCCAAAACCTTCCAGTCCAATCAGTGCACTGCTCCATTACCCGCTGCTCTGTTGAATAATGGCAGTCTTGCTCCAGATTTCTTTCACCAGGAGGAGAGGTGAAGATGTGGGTGGAGCACGTCGGACAGCTTTCCAATTTGATTACTTAACAGTGTGCTTAGTGGAAGCTCAGCGAAGCTCAGACGCCGAGAGATACTCAGATTCCACCGATTTCACGGTCACAGAACGGCACTTAGAGATGTCCTAAGTATCTCCCAAAGCTGTCATCCACTTCTCTTCATCCCCCTGCTGCTACCCGATGAGGCCACCAGCTTCTTTCACCTCAACCATTGTGACAGCTCTCTAGATGGGCCATCTGCCTCCAGTCTTATCCTTTACCTCCCACCCTCTGATTTCTTCTTGTTGGCACCAGAGTGACGTTCTTCTAAAATGCAAATAGGAATGTGTTATTCTTTTGGTTACAATAAATGTAAGGGCTCCTGGCTGCCCTCAAGACTGAGTCCAAACTGATGATCATGGCTGCTATTTACACTTCTTGTAACTGCCTCCAGCATCCCCAGCCTCGGGGGACAGTCATTCATAATCGTAGCCATAGTCACACATACTCCTACTCTCCATCCATTTTTGTTTCTGGTCAACAGACTGCTGGGTTGTCTCCAGGTCTTGGCACTCATCTGTCTCTCTCTCTGTCCCTCTCTCTCCCTCTGTGTGTCTCTCTCTCAGAAATGCTCTCCTCTGCTCTCTTTTTCCTGCTTACTTCAGACCATGTATTAATCAACAAATCTATATGGGGGACTGTGTTCCAGGCACTGTTCTAGGTACCTGAAGACAGCAGTGAACGAAACAGACCAAGATGCCCGCCCGTCTGTATTCTAAGGGTGGCAGGGGAAAGACAAAGAAGGAAGCAGCAGTAACTTAGTAACTTACATAGAAAGTTATGCAGTGATGGGGGCTACGAAGGAAATACACCCTTGAGCAGAGAGGGAGGCAGCAGTGGCTTTTGGGCTGGTAGATATTTTTATACAGTGCCAAGTTGGGAAAGTCCTCACTGAGATGGTGAAATCTGATGACAACTTGAAAGAGGTGAGGAAGTGAGTCATGTGCATTTCTGGGTGAGGAGCATTCCAGGCAGAGCAGACAGAGCAAAGGTACTAAATCAGGATTATGCCTGGTAAATTCAAGGACCCCTGCTGAACGGACTCAGATGTCTTCTCTTCCTCAGCTCTGTGGGCGAGTTTTCGGACCCACCATTAAAACCAGTTCCCAATTAACTTACGTAAAACAATGGGAAGGATGTGTCAGAGTTAACGCTAAAATCACCGTCAAGTGAAAAAAAAAGGCAAAAGACTGGCCAAAACATGCTACAAAAGAGATTTCATGCAAACTTGTTTGCCTAAAATTATGCTTAAAATTTAGGAACACTGGAATCATCCAAAGGTACTAACACAATCAATGCAATAGCACAGATATCTTAAATATGAACCACTGACCTGTCCCAAATAATTTTGCCCAGTTTAGCTTTACCTATTGGGCTTCTACATGAACAAAAAGCTTTAACCTTAGAAATCAGGAAAATACTAATTTTTTTAAGATTTTATTTATTTACTTATTTGACAGAGAGAGAGAGAGAGAGCACAAGAAGGGGGAGCAGCAGAGGGAGAGGGAGAAGGCTTCCCGCAGAGCAGGGAGCCCGATGCGAGGCTCAATGCAGGACTCAGTCCCAGGACTCTGGGATCATGACCTGAGCAGAAGGCAGTCACTTAACTGACTGAGCCCCCCAGGTGCCCTGGAAAATACCAATTTTAAAACACTAAAGGGATTCCATTTTATTTTCAGATTGGCAAAACTTAAGGAATAAAATAAAAGCTGACCCATCCCAAGCTCCAGAGTAGATAGGAAGACAGGGAACAGCTCAGAAATAGCCAGGGGTGGGGCGCCTTGGTGGCTCAGGCAGCTAAGCGTCCGACTCTTGATTTCCACTCAGGTCATGATCTCAGGGTTGTGAGATCTCTGTGCTGGGCGTGGAGCCTGCTGAAGATTCTCTCTCTTCCCATCTCCCTCTGCCCCTCCCCACCTTAAACAAAAGAAAGAAAGAAATAGCCAGGGGTGGTGTAAGTTAACCCAAACATTTTGGACAGCCATTTGGTAACATCTAGCAGGAATGAAGAAGCACCCACACCCTCCAGCCCTCCAGTTCTATGCCTACATATATAACCTGAAGAAATCCTTGCACATTTGCACAAGACCCATTCAAGAATGCTCACAGCAGCCCTGTTTATAATAGTGAAGAACCAGAAATAACTTTGCTGTCCATACACAGGTGAATCATGAACATAGGCAGTATGTTTAAGAGGAATACTACATGGCAGTGAAAATGAACAAAAATGAACAAACCAGAATATCAAATATCAACATAATGTCAAAGAGGAAAAAGGCAACTTGCAGAAGGATAGCAATAGAATGCTACCAATTAATTTTTTAAGATTTTATTTATGTATTGAGATAGAGAGTGAGCATGACCTGGCAGACAGAGGCAGAGGGAGAGGCAGGCTCCCCACTGAGCAGGGAGCCCGATGTGGGGCTTGATCCCAGGACCCCGGGACCATGACCTGAGCCGAAGGCAGACGCTTAACCGACTGAGCCACCCAGGCGCCCCACAGAATGACACCATTTAGATGAAACTTAAAAACAAGCAAAATAGCACTGCATGTTGTTCACAGAGTTATGTAGTAAAAGTAAACGTGCACGAGAATGATAAACATCAAATGCAGGATAGTGGTTATTTCTGGGGATTTAAATTTTTATTTCTTTTTTTTTATTTTTTTTTAAAGATTTTATTTATTTGAGAGAGAGAATGAGAGAGAGAGAAAGGTCAGAGGGAGAAGCAGGCTCCCTGCTGAGCAGGGAGCCCGATGTGGGACTCGATCCCAGGACTCCAGGATCATGACCTGAGCTGAAGGCAGTCGCTTAACCAACTGAGCCACCCAGGCGCCCTAAATTTTTATTTCTTAAGATGAGTGCCAGGTACACAGAAATTCATTATGTTATTATCTGTATTTTTTGTATGCCCAAACTATTTGACTTTTTTTTTTAAGATTTTATTTTGAGAGAGAGAGTACATGCGTGCATGGGCACGTGTGCTTTAGTGAGCAAGGGGAGGAGCAGAGGGGGAGGGAGAGGGAGAGAATCTCAAGTAGACTCCGTCCTGAGTGGAGCTGATGCGGGGCTCGATCTCATGACCCTGAGATCATGACTTGAGCCAAAACCAAGAGTCAGACACGGAGCTGGTTGAGCCACTCAGGCGCCCAAAAACTTTTTTTTTTTTTTTTAATTAAAAAGAGCCTGCACTCCTCTGCAGCATAGCAAGCTACTTCTCTGCAGGCTTCCGCGATTTGGGACTGCACAGTACAAAAAGCAGGGGCTGGGGACTGCAATCTTTCTTGGTGTCTGGTGACAGGTATTAAAAAAGAAAAATAAAGGCCTCTCCTGATGGCAGTTCAAGTATCAGTGGTTGGGATTTAATGAGACCTTTTCTGCTCCCCCTCTATTACCTCTCACATTACATTCAAAATCTCAGGCTTCAGGCAGTAAGCATTTGTGTTGTGATCAAAATGAATAATCAAGTTTAAGGGCACTGAAATGGTGTGCCTTTCACCCACTCCTACCGATGGCACACACAGCACCGCTCAAATGTCACTTGAGACCCTTCGAGGATCAAGGGAAAGTCCAGTCTATGAACCTAAAACTCCTTAACCCCTTGAATGACAGAGTTTGGGAAGGGAATGGGCAGTGGGGAATTGTAGCACTGCTCAGACTGATGGTTAACTATTCTTATTTATACTTTATAAAAGGGGACTGGAGTGGACACTTGCTGTCCAGGATTTTGAGAAACTTCCAGCTAAGGCTGGGACTGATGGTCGCCATCTCGGCCACCATACTGGTAGAGCCTGAATGGGAGTCAACACAGTAGAAAGCAGAGCCAAAAGATGGCAGGTCACATCTTT